GTAGAGGAGAGTCTACTGAATAAGCCAGTACCTGCTGCATACTAGTACTGCCATCTGTTGAGTTACGAAGGTGGAGGCATTACTTTTCATTCAAATCTCGTACTATCCCTATCTCAGGCTCTGGCTCAAAGCAAAAAGAATTGAAGCATGCTATAGACAAGTGCTAATTTCAAGTCTGTTATAGGCCGTCACTGAAAACATGCCATCTAGCCCTGCTGTAATTAGCCTGCAATAACAAATACATAGAAATAAAGCTGAATCAAGTAATGTGGGAACATATTGTGATCTACTTTTACTTACTCCCTCATCAGATAGGGCTTTTTTTGGCGGCATACATCAGCTGGGCCCTAGTTGATCCACGGAGTCTCACGACACAGAGGAACTTCCAGCAGGGCTCCGTGGATCAACTAGAGCTCAACTGATGTATGCCGCTTCAGCGGGAACATGGGAGGCTTACCATGTTGCGCAGGAGGAAGCCACGCTGTCTATGTTTCCCCCATGGGATCAGCTTCCCGAGAGCCGTGGGGTGACAAATACCCCATGCCTCCGACAACATTTGCATCAGTTGACATCAGTAGCCTTTATTTCGGTCAACAAACCTTTGGCTAAGTCAAGTGAAAATAGAATAATGAAATACAACATTTGAGTAATTAATAACATCACATTTGGCTTATGATTAATGAAAGCAAGTATCACCATTCGCTCTCGGTTGAATGACTGTCTTTATAATCTGATGTCAACTGATGACTGATGAACATTTGCCAGATTTGCCAAGACACATAGTAATTCTAGCGGCCAGTGTGATGAGGTTAATCAGAGACCAACTTTTAGATATATAATGTAGCTGTTCCCAATTTTCTCTTTCTTTCTAAATTAATTATTTTTTAAAGGTGTCTTTTGCAAGGAATGGGATTCTCTGGTTTAATTGTACTGAATGAAAATTAAATCTGGCAAAAATGAGAAGAGGTAGCGATGTGACATAAGATTTAAGAACGAAAAAAACAAAAAATGGAAAGCATTCATGGCCTCTCTTTCCGCCTCTTCCAGAACAAAAAAACAAAACAAAACTGAACGAGCAACCTCCTACACGTAGCAGCAACTTTTGCTCCTTGACAGAAATCCTGTCTATTCATATACCGTAATCCTGAACATATCATAGAGGGCTTCTCTCATGTATGGTCCCTTATTGTATTGGTGAAAGAATTCAAAAGTAAATGAGGAGAAATTTGTAAGCAACCCTTATGTGGCTTGAAAATGGAATATGAATCGGGAGCTAATTTGAGGGGAACGCCCATCACTACAGCTATACTGGAAAGAAAGATTAGCTCTTATGTGTAGGTTGTGGTATATACCTGCCATTCTTCGGCTATTCTATTTTACTAAATAATATTTTATGAAGAACCGAACATAGCTACAGATATACATAGTACATCTATACATGCTGAGAACCCAGGCAAGGGAAGACAGAAGGGGAAACACAAAAGACAGCTGAGAAGCCAAAGGCTCGTGCTGCAAGAAGTCACTCCATTGCTTCTTTCTTACACTGTTGAGCCACTATGGTGAGGTAGTATGTGAAGTCTGTCTCTGTACTAGGACATTTGCAACAAGCTTAAGTTTACGTCTGTGGTGAAAATTTAGAATGTGGATGAAAAATGTGTCAAGAATAGCTCAAGAATAAGGAGAAATGTGCTTGTTTTTATAGCAAGCATCCCTGGGGTAATTATATAGGAGCAAAGCAATTGAGTGATGCTCAAGGGATGGTCCAATATTACTTCTCAGCTGTGTAAATATTTCATGAGGGATTTACAATATTCCCTTGAAACCAGAATTTTGGACATTCCCTGTAAGGTTTGCAGTAAATAAGAAGCATACAAATGGGTCTAGGTTATTTTCAGTACTGCACTGATTTCAGGCTGTAGGTTTAAGTGTCATATATGGTCCATGTAAACATTTGGGTTGATTCTGAGACAGAACTGTTTACACAGCCATATTGTATTCCCCAGACTCGGATGGCATGAACCAACCCCCTCCTGTTTTTGTCGGTAACGAGTGGGTGCAACATGGCTTCTAGCCATCACTCATTGCCTGGAGTGACCTTGTTTGGGACAAGAGTAATCGGAGAAAACATAGGGGTGCTCCCTTCTCGCTCCTCTATCCTGCATTGCTAAGGCACCCTGGTCAACATCTGGGCAACATGAGATGGCCACCAGCTTGCTACGCTGGTTGCTGCTATGATGGGAACAAAAAAGGCCTACAAGGTGGCCATCCAGTGGCACTGGCACCGCCAAACAGGACTCCATCCTCCCTCAACAGTGGTCCAAGGGCTGGCGGAAAGGACTCCTATCCTCCTATGACGTGGCCAGGGAGCTAACGGTAAAAATCATCCTATGGTCAATCCATCCACAATTCAACACTGACTTGGCCCTGGAATAAAGTGTCCGTCAGGTCTGTCCCATGAAATATTGAGTGGAGACACCTTCCATCTTCTATGATAAAGAAGCTAACAAAGCCGATGCTGCATCAATAGAAGTGTAGTGTCTTGGTTGAGGTAAGAGTGCCACTCTTATTCTGGTTTGGTCAGACCTCACTTGGAATACTGTGTCCAGTTCTGGGCACTAAAATTCAAGAAGAATATTGACAAGCTGGAATGTGTCCAGAGGAGGACATCCAAAATTATTAAAGGTTTGGAAATCCTATGAAGAGCAGCTTAGGGATTTGGTTATGTTTAGTTTGGAGGAAAGAAGGTTGAGAGAGGACATGATAGCCATGTTTAAATACTTGAAAGGATGCCATGTTGAGGTGGAGGCAAGCTTGTTTTATGTTGTTCTAGAGACTAGGATGTGGGGCAATTTAAGGGAGGAAGAGATTCCATCTAAACATTAGGAAGACCTTCCTGACTGTGAGAGCTATTTAGTAATGGAATATATTATCTCAAAGTGTGGTGGTGTCTGTTGGGGGTGCTTTGATTTTGTGTTCATGCATGACAGGGAGTTGGACTGGATGATCCTTGTAGTTTCTTCTAACTCTGTTCTTCTATTGTCTTGGTGGCACATAGCTCTCTTCCTCATTTTCATCTTCAGGAGGTGAAGCATGGGATGTACTGAACTTATGTTTGGCCACAATGATTGGTGGCCAAAACTTGAGGCTGAATCCAAACATGACCAGGGTGCTCTCCTTCTGATGGAGTGAGTGGTGTTCAAGCAGTTCTAGATAGGGTGAGATTCTCCCTAAATGAAGGGGGTACACAGCTTGGGGCCAATGTTGGATCCATTACTGCCACTTGAGGCAGAGGTGCCCTCCATCCTGAGGAGTGTCATACCAGCTTTGTAGGTCCTGAAACATTAATTTTGAACAGGGATAGGTTAGCTGCCTACACTGGCAATCCCTAGCACAAATTACTGCCATGTACAATATGTAGTAGGTTGGTAAAGGTTTTCCCTGACATTAAGTCCAGTTGTGTCCGACTCTGGGGGTTGGTGCTCATCTCCATTTCTAAGCCAAAGAGCCAGCGTTGTCCGTAGACACTTCCAAGGCCATGTGGTTGGCATGACTGCATGGAGTGCTGTTATCTTCCCACTGGAGTGGTACCTATTGATCTACTCACATTTGCATGTTTTTGAAGTGATAAGTTGGCAGAAGCTGGGGCTAACAGCAGGAGCTCACCCCGCTCCCCAGATTCAAACCGGTGATCTTTTAGCAAGTACAGCAGCTCAGTGGTTTAACCCACTGTGCCACCAGGGCGCCACTATATGTGGATCTGGCTTTACAGAATGGTTCAGCAATGCAGCTAGCACTTGATGCAATGGCTAAATCGACTACCAGTCTGATCATATGACCTCGCTTCTTACTTGGATGGTAGCATTATCTGATGTCAGCTTCCAGGCTGGTAGCATTATCAGATGTCAGCTTCCAGGCTCATGTCCATGGTATGTGTTTAAAGCTTTACGTGGCTCATGACCCCAATATTTGCAGAGAAGTTTCTCCCATCATGAGCTGACTCACAACTTGGGATCATCATTAGAGGCATTCCTCTGAGGACTTTCTCTGCCAGAGGCTATAAGAGTGTCACTGATGGGCAGGCATGCTTCAGCTATGGCACTTTCTAATCAAGACTGCTCTTAATACTCTCTTTTGCATCATGTAGATGCTAAACTTCTGCATTCCCGGAGATGTGACTACATATGACTGACCAATTTTTAAATATTGGCATTAGCTAGCACGGGTTTATATAAAATATTTGTCTTTTTTAAAAGTTATACATTGATTTGACAAGAATCCTTTTTTTCTAAACAAAAAGACATGCAAGCAATTGGAAAGATCATACTGAGAATCATCTCAAGAATGGAATCAACCAAGGAACAGTGGCTCATATAATATAAATAATGGTGACCCCCTGCTGACAGGGATTTTTTTCTTCACATTTGAAGCATGTGAGTTGTTCTAGGACAGGGGTCCTCAAACTTTTTAAACAGAGGGCCAGGTCACAGTCCCTCAAACTGTTGGAGGGCCGGATTATAATTTGAAAAAAACATGAATGAATTCCTATGCACACTGCACATATCTTATTTGTAGTTCAAAAACCACTTTAAAACAATACAATAATTAAAATGAAGAACAATTTTAACAAATATAAACTTATTAGTATTTCAATGGGAAGTGTGAGCCTGCTTTTGGCTGATGAAATAGGATTGTTGTTGTGTGCTTTCAAGTCATTTCAGACTTAGGTTGACACTGAGCGAGGCCCAGGTAAATGACCTTGGAGGGCCGTATCTGGCCTTAGTTTTAGGACCCCTAGACTAGGATGTAAACTTAGGCTTGCTCAAGTGGATTTTATTAAGCCACTAGCTGTCGCCTGCCCCGTGTTGCTGTGGCCCAGTCTGTTTATATGTGTTTTGTGTGTGTATATATGTGGTTTTGTTCATGAGTTGTAATGTAATTTTTTTGGCTTTTTAAGTCCCTTCTGCTGTGTTTTTCAGTGTTTTTATGAGTGATGGTCACTCATTCGCTTGATAGGTGTCTTGTGTCCAAATTTGGTGTCAGTTCGTCCAGTGGTTTTTGAGCTCTGTTAATCCCACAAACGAACATTACATTTTTATTTATATAGATTCTGAAGATGTAAAAAGCTACCTATATTGGATTCTATGGCTTACCTGTCAACACATCTATAGTTTGGTAAGTAAAGAGAGGAGCCTACAGGCAGTGCAAGCTCCACAATTTACCCACAGAAAGGGGAAGGTAAATTCAAATTACAGAATTATAGTGCTGTTGTTTCACTTTAGTTGCCAAAATTACATCCTAAAGAATACAGGGTTTGGCAATTTAATTTTTTTTAAATTATTTCATTTGACCCAGCCATAGGTTTTAAATGCTTGTTGTTATTGTTACTGTTTATTGTTTACTTTTGTTTATGAGATTTATTTTAACTGTTGTATTGATTGTTTTCTTATTGGGTTGTTGTAGGTTTTTTCGGGCTATATGGCCATGGTCTAGAGGCCCGAAAAAACCTACAACAACCCAGTGATTCCGGCCATGAAAGCCTTCGACAATACATTGTTTTCTTATTGCTTTTGCTGTTGATGTACTTTGGGCTCAGCGTCATGTAAGCCGCACCGAGTCCCTTGGGGAGATGGTAGCGGGGTATAAATAAAGTTTTATTATTATTATAATTTAGGGAGAAGCATTTAGATTCCTAGTCCCTCACCCAGACTCAAAAACCGAGGTTTTGGATGGAAATAAGGCAGTTAATAGCACTATAGGTTTTCAATGTGAGTACCCCCATGTTCTGTGGCTCTTGTAGATTTGAGGTCTTGGAAGACACAAGGGCACACATAAGGCATAAAATACTGATTCAGTGATGATCTCGCAGTATTTTCCTGGGAGGTTGAGAGACCTTCTGTTACTAATTGACCATGAAGTGCTCCAAAAATGCACTGAACTAGAGAGGGAAGTGTACCAGTGGAGCTTTACCCTCTCCCAGCAGTGAATAGGATCTTGGCAAAAGCTATAATCAGCCACTTTTAGACAAAACTATTTTCGGCCTGAAGCTCTGGGAAAATCTACTGATTGGAGGGATAAATCTTCAAAGCAATGACTGTAGCAAAAGTGCAACAGCGCATTTCTGCTGAGAGCAAAACATTCTGTTATAACACTGCAATTTTAGGCGATTGAACAATGAAAATATATTAAATGGAGCTTAAGCTATCCTCATTGACAGCGGTGGATGAATAGGAGACACAGTGGGCAAACTGTGAGGGGATGGGTGGGTAAATTGAGCTCACAGGAATTATTCATTTATTCATTTATTATTTGTGTGACAAGTATCTCAGAAGAACAAAGCTTGGTCACTATTTTAAGCATCACAGAAGTGCCTGTTAGTTATAAGGACTGATAAGCCACCTTTCACTCAGTCCCAGATTTTGGAAGGAATAGAGGGATAATCCCGATTACTAATGCACACCGCATCAAATGTATGCAGTTCTAATAGTGTTGTAAGACACCAAGAATAAAGAAGTAGCACGTACATTTGAAGGCTCTCAGGATCTTTCAAGAGACTCAGGACCTTTCCACATAATGTTGGTCACAAACTACTCCCCGGCAGGCAGCGGCCAATTCTGGCATAGGCATGTTTGCTTCATTTCTATATTGCAATTTCAAGGTGTCCACTTACAGTCTTAATTGTATATCTAAAAAGTTCCAGGTGTCCATCCCAGAGTCTATTTGTATCACATCAGGGCTCGGCTGAAAAGACTATGATAATTGTAATAGAAACTGCTACATCTTTCTTTCTAGTTCTAAATAACAAACTCTAAAAATGGCATTCTTTAAAAACTGCGGAGTAGAACTGGGAGAAAAGCATGAGGAAAAAGGAGGGAAGAACACAGTAAAAAGTTATAAATCAGGCTACTAAATACACATTAAGATAGAAAAAGTTAACCTCTCTCCACCCCCAAAACTCAATCCAAGCAGTTCCATCTGAGTAGCTTTCTTTTCAAGTCTCCATGCATCATGTTGGGCAAAAGCAATTTGTTGATCTGTGAGAGAAGCATCAAAGAGCTCCTTCTAGAAGTTAACATAGGTTACCCTCATAAGTCTAACACAGATTAATATCGTATCAATGCAATCCTATGCACATCAACTTGGAAAAATAAGTCTCATATAGTTGAATGGGACTTACTCCCAGATAAGTCTGTATAGAATTCACAGGCTACTTAAAACCATTCCTTAAATAATACTAGGGTTTGTTTAAAAGGTGGATCTCTGGATCGGTGTGATTTCTTTTCAGTAGCTTTCTTCTCCTCTTTGGCAAAATGGTGAATGAGAAGAAACAAAAAATAAGTCCAGGGATTGATGGGATGGAGGCCCAAGTAGGACAACGCTTGATCCTCTTTTTTTTCAGGGTGGTTTTCCCCCAATGGCAAGACAGAAGTGCTGATGTGTTTAAAATGCATTGGTTTAGGCATCATATTTTTTACCAGTCCTGTGAATTTGTTGGAAGAGAGTCATGGAAAAAGCCATGCCCAGTATCTGAAAGAGAAAAGAGAAGAAAAACCATTAACACTTGGCTCCACACATAACGTTCGTTGCCCAACTCTACCCAAGCTTCCCTCCCAGGATCCTTCCTTCTGATGCACCTGGCACCTCACAATAATAATAATAATAATAATAATAATAATAATAATAAGGTTCTTGTGGGTTTTTTCGGGCTATAGGGCCATGTTCTAGAGCATTTCTCCTGACGTTTCGCCTGCATCTATGGCAAGCATCCTCTGAGGATCCTTGCCATAGATGCAGGCGAAACGTCAGGAGAAATGCCTCTAGAACATGGCCCTATAGCCCGAAAAAACCCACTAGAACCTAGTGATTCCAGCCATGAAAGCCTTCGACAATACATTATTATTATTATTATTATTATTATTATTATTGTTGTTGTTGTTGTTGTGCGGTTTTCTGGCATTATTTCTGTTGCTTCTGTGATGGTTAATTTGTATTTTAATTCTGTAGCCCACTTGTCAATGGATGTCCAGAATCAACAGCATCCACCGCGGTCCTTTTTATCCTGGACGTCGACCGAGCCAGTATAGACTTCCATAGTGCTAATGGGTTAGGTCAGGGGTCCTCAAACTAAGATCTGGGGGCCAGATACAGCCCTCCAAGGTCATTTACCCAGCCCTCGCTCAGGGTCAACCTAAGTCTGAAACAACTTGGAAGCTAACAACAACAATCCTATCTCATCACCAAAAGCAGGCCCATACTTCCCATTGAAATACTAATACGTTTGTATTTGTTAAAATTGGTCTTCATTTTAATTATTGTATTGTTTTAAGTGTTTTTTGCACTACCAATAAGATATGTGCATTGTCCATAGGAAGTCATTCATTTTTTTTCCACATCATAATCCAGCTCTCCAACAATTTGAAGGTCTGTGACCTGGCCCTCTGTTTAAAAGGTTTGTGGACCCCTGGTTAGGTGATCTTGGTTCCACTCCTCAACTGAGACCTCTCAGGCTTGGTTGGACCTGATTGTAGTTACACTACTGCCAGCACAGCTCTCAGCATCCTTGGAGCAGTTAAGCCCCCCACCATGACAAGGTGGCACCCATTTCCTCGCGTTGAGGAAAAACAACAGGAAAAACTCAGCCGTTATCAAGACCTCAAAATCGAACTTCAAAGGCTCTGGCATAAACCAGTAAAGGTGGTCCTAGTGGTCATTGGTGCACTGGGTGCCATGCCAAAAGATCTCAGCCAGCATTTGGAAACAATAAGCATCGACAAAATCACGATCTGTCAACTGCAAAAGGCCACCTTACTTGGATCTGCGCGCATCATTCGAAAATACATTACACAGCCCTAGACGCTTGGGAAGTGTTCGACTTGTGATTTTGTGATTCGAAATCCAGCATATAGATCTCGTTTGCTGTGACATACTGTGCTTTTATGTCAGTAAAAAAATAATAATAATCTTTATTTATACCCCACCACCATCTCACCAAAGGGGACTCGGAGCGGCTTACATGAGGCCAAGCCCAGCGATACATTACAGCAACATAAAATATAAACAACAAAATAACATCACAATAAAATAAATAAACCAATCAAGTAAAATAAACAGTACAAAATAACATAATGGAAAATAAAACACAGTGGGCAGGCCAAATGCATGACATAAAATGATAAAACATTGGATGAGATAGCAATGAAAAGGTACATTTGTGGGGGAGGAGCTCGTAGGGGACTGAACAGTGGAATTAGACTTTCAATAAGGTGGTGGAAAGTGCAACACGAGGGAAACAGCGTAGGTGAAACAACAGGACTGGAAAATATGGTCACTCTCCAAAGGCACATCGGAAAAGCCAAATCTTTAGATCTTTCTTAAAGGCTGCTAGGCTGGAGACTTGTCTAATCTCACCAGGTAGTGAGTTCCATAGCCGGGGGGCCACAGCAAAGAAGGCTCTCTCCATTGTTCCCACAAGTTGTGCCTGTGATAAAGGAAGAGGGGAGAGGAGGGCCTCCCCCGAGGATCGGAGGGAGCATGCAGGTTTGTGGAAGGAGGTGCGGTCATGAAGGTAGGCGGGTCCCAAACCGCTTAGGGCTTTATAGGTGATAACCTGCACCTTGAATTGGGACCGGAAAATGAATGGCAGCCAATGGAGCTCTTTAAGCAGCAAGGTTGACCGCTACAGAAGCATTATGGATTCTGGAACATGGCCATACAGCCCAGAAACCTCACAGCAGCCCAATGAATAGGAAGTATTTCAGTAGGCCACTTTTATAGTGGTTTATCAACACTCCTTTCAAATATTTGAAGTCATATAATTTCTGAATGGGGGTTAATTGTAGCTGCTACCCAAAAACAATGTCCAGCCTTGAGTCTCTGACTAATTTCAAAAGCATGCTGTTGGTGTCATCCCTTGAAAGAGCTTTAAAAAATGAGAAGTATCCATGACAACAGGACCTAGTTCTGTCTTTTCTTAGCAGCATCCATCTCTAAATTTGTCACAAATATGGCATTTACTTTGAAGTGGATGCAGACAAATTTATGTGCAACATATAATTCACACTGGTCACAACAAGCCTTTCAGTTCAGTCTGATAGTTGACTAGAATTGCTTGATGCTTTGGACCCGAAATCATCATTAGTCTCCTGGGCTGACACTTAGCAATGGTGGTGGCAGAGAAATAAACTTTTATTGGTTGTCATCACAATTGCAAAGAAAGCACTCAGGACCTCATCACACTGATGAAGTTTGGCGTTGTGATTTACCAACCCCCTTGGTGAATTTGGGTGTCATTGAGGTGGCACAGAGGCAATCCTGGCGCCTGGTCGCTAGCTGACACTTTCCCATCCCATGTGGGAAACTGTCGGCGCTCTGCTGAAGCCCCATTGTTCCTAACAGAACATGGAGCAGTTTCCGTGTTTTTGGCGGCAGCATCCCACCATTACTGCCACCCCAGTTCACCCATGGAGCCCCATCAGAAGTCATCCTACATTGTATGACTAGCCATCCCCTGCCATGTGTTGCTGTGGCCCAGTCTCTGTATATGTGTTTTGTGTGTGTGTGTATATATGTGTGTATTTGAGTATATATGTGTGCTTACGTGTGTGTGTATACACACATACATACACACACATACATACACACATATGTGGGTGTATATATGTGTATTTGTGTGTTTATATGTGTACATGCATATTGTGTATATGTGTGTGCTTGTCTATATGCGTATTTGTGTGTGCATATATGTATGTCTGTGTATACGTATATATGTGTGTGTATATGTGTATATTTGTGTGTTTGTGCATATATATATATGTGTGTGTGTATGAATGTGTGCATGTGCATATGTATATGAGTGTATGTGTATATATATGGTGTATTTTTTGGGTTTTAAAATCTGTTGCATTGGGGTTTTGTGTGTGCGCGTGTGCTTATGGGTGATGGACACTCGTTGGACTTTAGGTGTATTGTGTCCAAATTTTGTGTCAATTCATCCAGTGGTTTTTGAGTTATGTTAATCCCACAAACGAATATTACATTTTTATTTATATAGATGGACAACGTAGGGCTCCATGGGTGAACTGGAGCAGAAGTGTACTAGAACAATTCTTTTGCCCCATGTTATAATGCTGTAAGAGAGCCTCAAGCCTGTGCTCCAGTCTAGTCCATCCATCCTCAGTTTATGCCATGTGTTTTTTAAACATTAAACTTCCCATTTTGCTCTCCTTCATCCCAAAAAAATATCATTTCAAACAAGAAAAGGAATCCACCACCACTGCAGAAGATTAAGATACCAAACAATCCATCTTGAACAAATACTAATCTATGCATCTATCTTCTTCAATCACATACAATTTTATCTAAGGAGGTAATTCAGAATCTATTTATTTTTGGCATATTTATCAACCTTCACACTATTTAATCAGGATTTAGAAAATTATAACCTCGTTTTGAAGTGATATCAAAAGGAGATGTTGATATCACAATTCATAATCTATTTATTTTTGGCATATTTATCATCCTTCACACTATTTCATCGGGATTTAGAAAATTATAACCTGGTTTTGAAGTGACATCAAAAGGAGATTCCATTGGAACATTAGGAAGAACTTCCTGACTGTAAGAGCCGTTCAGCAGTGGAACTCTCTGCCCCAGAGTGTGGTGGAGGTTCCTTTGGAAGCTTTAAAACAGAGGCTGGATGGCCATCTGTCGGAGGTGCTTTAAATGCAATTTTCCTGCTTCTTGACAGGGGGTTGGACTGGGTGGCCCATGAGGTCTCTTCCAACTCTATGATTCTATTATTCTTGATGGCAAGCAAAACATAGGAGAAGAATGATCCATTTCCTGTATGGTGTCTGATGTCAGCTTTAGATAGACACCACTTTGGGTAAGTGACTTATGAGAATGGAATGGGAACAGTATAATCCTGTTGGCAATTCTGGATCTCTCAGATCACTGGGGGAACGTATTTACAATTCTTTGGGAGACCCAGTTCAGCAGTCACAGGACTGATTGATCTTTTGATAACAAAAGGTCTACATATTTGGGAGCTATTTTTTATAGTTGTTGATTTTTAAAAAAACATGCAAGTATTAGATAAATACATAAACTGTCCCAATTTTAAGTCTCAATTAGCTTCCTGCTTTTTATCTGCATAAAATTTGGATCTCTATTTGGCATGTCCCAATGCCACCACTACACAAGGTCAGGCTGTTTTGGTCTTATGTGTTTTGTGTCACAGGGTCAGACTGGATGATCTCAAGGCTCTGCAATGCCTAAAGGATCTGGCCATATACAGCTTCAAAGGGGGACTGGAATGCACAGAATTGTTGTAAGCCATTTCAGCAAAAGGTAATCATCCCAGCAATGAAAGTAATGTCCAAGAGCCCGGTTTATTCTTTCAGTTTGGCCATCAGTTTGTGAAAGGCAGTGTTCATAGCCTTCCTCTATCTCCAATACTCTTAGGAATGCTTTCAGAAATTGGGAGGTAAACTGGGTGCTGCAAATTACACAGCGGGGTATGCTGTGTA